ACAGTTAAGTGAATCACTGTCGTGGTTAAGCTTAGTAACACGGTTGTTAAATGAATCTGGATTCCCTATTGACTTTGCTTGTCAGAAGGTTGCTAAAAGTGATTGTGTGACTCCGGGACACTGCAACTGTCGTAAATATGAATTAGACGCAGCAGCAAGGATTAGCTATGCAAAATATTGGGAAAATGAGAATACCAGAGGTGGTATTCAGCTGGTTCTGACAAGTTCTGAAGAACCAGTAGTGGAAATTTTGAGTAGTTTGGAGAACTGGTAAATTCCACCTCTGACTGGCCCCTCACCCATCTATTATCTGCCTGCCGAGTCCCAGCTGATTGGCTGGGTCTTCTTTGGTTGCCCTGCACAGGAGAACGGAGCTGGAAAGCAGGTTAGTGGGTGGGGAGGGAATGGAGATTTTGCAGTATCCTTCCCCTGCCATGCCCACCAAGCCACACCCACAGAACCAGTAGTAAAAAAATTTAAATCCCACCATCTGAATAGGTCTGAAACCAGCTTGCAAACCTTAGCAAAGACTTTAAGAGGGTGAAGGGGAGGAAATAAGAGACATACCTTGGTGGAATCATGGAGAAACAAGATGTACTACAGGGAGTTAAATCTGGATCTGTTTAACAGAAATCGTATCCCTCAGAGAAGTTTGGCTGAATAGTGAAGATGCTTGAACAAGCCATGCATTCTTCACTCACATTCATAATATATGTGTTATTGTTAACAGACTGAAATACAAAAAAAAGTAGGAAAAAAAGCACTACATTTAGATTTAGAAAAATAATTAAAAAAAAGATAAATTGCTTTCTAATCATACTTCCAAGCACTCCCTTCCATTTATATCACCAACTTCTAACCATTGTTTAAATATTTAAGCTTTGCATTAAAGATTAAGTAATGATTGCTAGTTTCTATTTAAGTCTTAGAAACCATATTGCAGATGTTTAAGTCTGCCTTGCTGTGATATATTTTACACAAGAGAGTCAATCCTGCTTCAATTTGGGTAAAAAAAATATGTTGTGGACATTATACTATCAATTTTGCCATTGTAGCTTAGTCTCCAATCTTGTATATAGTAGCTAAAGTATCTCTTTTCCAACTGGTTTAAAATATGGCTTATTAATGGTGTGACATGGGACTGCAACATGAAAAAGTGCCATGATTTGATATTCTATGAAACAACCAATATGTCGTGAGATCCGGTTTGAGCTTCTTCGGCGACAGACCAAAATCTGCGATTGTGCGCAGTTTCGATCTGTGCTCGCCACTGGAGCGCCCCGAGCCGGCTGCTTTCGGGGCTAAGCCACCCCATAGAGGTGGTGAAGAAGGGGGAGACTGCCTGCAGGGTTGAGGAGAGCCTCATCTCTCCTCCCCAGCTGGCCATTACTCCCTTTCCCAAAGGCGGTTGCAGCGGTGGTCAGAAATGGCCACCTCAAAGAAGAACTCGACCGGAAAAGAATGTGCAGGAGGAAAATAAGAAGAGAAAGTTTTTGGCTGATTGGGTCGAACTGGAAAAACAACAATGTAAGGTACCCTGGAATTTAAATTATAAAGAACAACATTGTTCCCAAAGAAGACTTTGAAGCTGTGAATGAGAGAGGAAAGGGAAAGATAGTATTGTTATATTAGAAATAGAAATGAACTTTGAAAATATGAAACAAGTGTGATTAAAACGATAGATAAAATACTCATTGTAATGTAATGGAATGTTTAATAAATAAATGAAATAAAGAGAATGGGAGAATGAAATTAGGAAAGGAGGGGAACATTTTAATTATTATAAATGTGTTATAAAATTTAAGTGAAGAGGAATATGAAAGAAACATGAAAAAAATATCAAAATATTATAAGTGTTCCTAGAAGTATGATATCCTATTGAAAAGGAATGTTAAAGATGTCAAAGATTATAACTAACATTAATGATAGAGCTGAATTGGAATAGAATAAGTATTTTATTTATTGTTGTTATATATATATATATATATATTTTCTCTTTAAGAACTTAGTGCGTATTTTAAGAATGTACCAAGCAGAATTCGACTGGAAGTTATGTGTTATATTGAATGCTATAATTGTAAAGGCATAAACTGAAGTTTAAATAAGAGTTGAATGGATAAAAATTAAAAGATACAAAGGTGTCATACTCCAATTAGTAACTACAGGGGAAAAATTTGTTTAATGAGAAAAGAAAATATGAAATTGAAACAGGACAGACAAAAGTATAAATATGATGACTAGAAAGGTATTGAAACTTAGAAAAAGATATATATAATTGAATTTAGAAAGGAATGAGATAATTAAAAGTAAGATTGAGAAAACTAAGGGAAGGGAAAAATTATTGAGAAAATGTTAAAATAGTAATAAGATATGGAATAGAACACAAAGATGAATATGAAATTGAATTTGTGTCTGAATGGAGAAGTAATCATCCGGGACCATGCTATTCTCAAAAAAAGAAATTTTACTTGTATTATGTTTTATGAAAACCCATATATATATATATATATACAACCAGTATGTCAAACTTCCAAGTAATATGTTCCCCGAATGAACATCCATTAAAACATAGCTACATATATGTCAACTTTAGGGTCAATACAGTAAGTCTGGAAAAAACACAAAATCACAGATTTGCAAATAACATCGAATACAGCTTCCATAGTTTATTCAAGATTTGTACAGTTACCAAAAACATAATGGAATAGAGTATTTTTATTACAACTTATAAAACAATTAAATAGTACAATTTATGCTTTAAGTTTGTTCATTTTTTCCCCTTTTACATCACAATCTATACTTCTATGTAACATTTCTTTGCATTGCCATCAGTTACTTGTGTAGCCATTGATAAAATTAAAAAGAAGGGACAGCTATGCATTAATAAATTAATATTTTTACATCAAATAATAAAATATGACAGTTGTAGAAACAAAATTAGTCAACATCTTCTCTCTCATTTTAAAATGTTCAGGAAAGTCTACTTAGACCTCAAGATTGTTGGAATAATCATTTTTTAATGCATCACATTTCATGTTGTTCCTTGCAAAAAAGGAACTGCTAATTTTGACTGACCACTTTCTGACATTAATGTTGACATGTCTAATTTTAGATCAGAAATGATAGTTTGGAGAGCCATAAATCTGAACTACATTCTTCCAGGGATGATGTGGGATTGGCTGGAAAGAGGACAAAAATGTCCAGTGTAGCCATGCCCCAGAAAATTACATCAAAATATATTCTTTAGCTGTATTGGTTTTAGCAAAGACATCTTCTTGTAGTCTAGTTTACCATTTGAGCATTCAAAATCTATTCTTTCCATATTGGATACAAGTTGTTTCTACTTATTCCACGAATGGTGAATCCACTAATATCAGTTGAATGGCAAAAATGGGCTGTGACTGTATTTATGGGCCAACTGTCCTAGATCAAATGGGGAAAAATATTTTCCAGCAGAGAAACACAAGTGTACAGGACCATCAGTTTGACTAACTAATGCAAAACTCTTTTTTCTGATATAAAGAAAACACAGAATTTTATTTTATTTAAAAAAAACAACAACAGGCATCTATCCTTGGCTCAGTTGTCATGTTCATCAACATCCTTTAAGAACAGGTTTCTGACTTACCATGGTACACTTAATAGCTGTATTTGCACAGCACTTAAACAGATGGCTGAATTGTATGGTAAGTTTATGGTTTAACGTGTTCCATAAAGAGCTTGGGTTTGTATAATACGGCAAATAATATAAAGAACACAAGACAAGGACAAAATTAACCAGACATAGCATGTTACCATATCTGAATGCAGTTGGTAGATCTTTAAATAATCTGTTCAAAGTGTTATACAAAAATAGCCAGTGCATTTAATCCTTGAGCCTATAAATCTGTAACTGTGTTTGTGTTTAGCACGACTGAACATAGAAAAATGCAAGTTCGTTTCCTGGCCCTGCTCCTATAAATGAATCCATAAAGACATAAATTGCTTTCAAGCGGTTTGCAGATGGAATGGATAAAAGAAAAAATATAACTATTTGTCTGCATAAAAGTTCAAGTAATCGCAGTTTGCATTTATGTTTGAATTCAGCAAGATCAGTGAAATGATTTAATGAATTTCATGCAATTCCTACTATTTCAGCAATTTCCTTCTCATTTCTTTTAATGTTTGGATGGGAAAAGGTCTGGTTTTTACAAGGGACACCCAAGTTCTGAAACAACTTCAGCAAAAATCAACTTCAGTGTTTAATGTAAACAAGAAGATGGTGGAATTTTTGAATGCCTGTCAATGTGAGTGATAACAAGGCAAAGCCCATATGTAAGAAGTTCACACAGAATGAAATTCTACTTTGCTCATACAACACAGAAATGCTACTTTGTTGGAAGAATATCCCAAGGCATGCCAGCCCATTCAAGTGGCTAGTAAACTATGACCGATTTATTGCTAAACATGGAAAGAATAACACAAAAAAGCAAGGAATTCTATTTTGATATAGCCCTTAGCAGCACCTGAAATAGAAAAGCACCTTTAGTCTTGCTTGTACAGTATAGTGTTTGTCTAGATATCACACCTCTGTTGCGTATAGCAATTCACAGTCTCAGCAGCCGCTGTTGTAATAAGCCTAAAGGACATTCTCTTTCTTACAAAGAGCTCTGCTGACAAACACCACATTAGCTAACATGTCTCCATAGTATGTTCTACTTCCCTATTTTTAGGCTCTTGGTATTGACTCTATAGTAAAAAAGTTGGACCACTGTGCCAAACATGCCAATCCAGTGGGGTTGGGATCAGCTTTAGCCATGAAGAGATTCTCAATTTTAGGCCATCCTATTTTCAAAATCCAATCCTTGAAGATTCTTCGTAAGGTTTACCACTGCGATTACTGATCCATGTTAGAAAGTTACCTTTTTCCTTGATAATTTGGGCGACATTTGGTTCTGGAAAACTCAAGTCTTGTCAAAAACAGAATCGACCTGTTGAAGCCTCAGCCTGACACGTCCAAATCAGTTCTTCCACGTGCATGATTTGCAGCACTGTTTGCCATAAAATTTATGATTGCAGACACCGTGCTGAGGAACCAGGTGGCACCAAGCAAAGAAGTCCACACAAGAAGGATCATCTGTTTTGATGAAATGACAGACAGTATATTTAGTGTACAATTCAAATGAAACACAATTAATATTTCATTCTCTGTGTGTGGTATAGCCTTCACATCCTATCAGATTAAAAAAAAATTGATGAGAAATATTTGATAACGTTTCAGGGAGTTTGGATATGCAACAAAGCTGTTTTCTGTGGACTTACTTGCTAGAAAAAAAGCTATCAGCCAAGAGTTTGTGAAATTAGTATTTTGCATTATATATTATTTAGCAGAGTTAGATGAGGAATGGAAAGAAGAAAGACCGCCGTAGAAACAAAAAGAATTCCCATTGATTGTACTCATATTATAAATTATCCTTTAAGATGAAATCAGTTGATTTTAAGATACTGCATGGCCAAATAATTGATTTGCGGTTCATGTTCTCTTCATAAAGCATGTAATCATATAGGTCCTATACAAAGCAAACTACATAAGCATTAATGTACTGAAATGAGTAAAGACTGCAGCAAACTTTAGTTGTTTCTGAAATTAAAAAACAACACACCGTTCAGTTTATTCTTAATAGCTCATAGCAAAAGGGCAGAGGAAATTGCCAATACAATATCAGAACATTGAGTTTAGTATTATGTATGTTAGAGAGGTTTGAATCCCTAGCACTGTATAATGGAGTGAACTCCCATTACTTGTCCCAGCTTCTGCCAACCTAGCAATTCGAAAGCATGTAAAAATGCAAGTACAAAAATAGGGACCACTTTGGTGGGAAAGTAACAGTGCTCCATGCGCCTTCGGTGTTTAGTCATGCTGGCCACATGACCACGGAGTTGTCTTCGGACAGCGCTGGCTCTTTGGCTTTGAAACGGAGATGAGCCCCCTAGAGCTGGAAATGACTAGCACATATGTGCGAGGTGAACCTTTACCTTTACACTAGAGATGGGCGGTCTTCTGGACTGAGAGATGCCCCATAGTTATGGGAGTGAAACAGCCCCAGAATGATGCTGGATGATGATGATGGTGGATGATGATGATCATGATGATCATGATCATGATACATAGTAGTTAGGGCACTTCTCTCCCATCCCACACAGCTCCTTTTCCTGGGCGTTTAGAATATGTTTGATCATTTTCCTTCTTAACTCTGATTTCATTAACTTCCAATCCCCAACTGGCATTGATTTTTAGCAAAATGTACTCAAAAGTGTGGTATGGCTCCAAAAGAAGGACTGGTGGTGTGTTTTCTTGGGGCCACATAATGTCAATTTCTGCTTTCCAGTAACCAATTGCAGCTTCCCAAAGTTACAGATTTTTTAAGAAATCAGCTTTATCAAGACTGGCATTGATCCTGGGGATTTTTGCAGACAAAGCAGAGGTAACTTAGTTGTATAACTTTCCATAGTCTTTTGTTTAGAGAAAGAGAAGAAAAACCCTTGGCTGATACAGCTTCTCCAGGAGAAAAAAAAAAAGCCCGACCTTCTAAATTCATTGCAACTCATCTTTCAAGTGGGATCATCCTGTTAGGACTGGAGAATTGAACCATTTTTGCACCCAAAACTGTTTGCTATTTGCCCAATTCTGGAGGAACAGTGATGAAATGTGAAACTTGGTCTTCTTTGCAAATAGCTCAGCCAGCCGCAGCATGCATGGTTTTCTTCCCAAAAAATTAAATTGACTTATAGTTTTGCAGTTTACAGGACTTAACAAGATACTCAAAATGACCAAGGGAGCAGATCAGCTTGTCTAGGGAAGCATGTTCATTCTCCCTAAAAAGCTCTTTTTCTCTCTTTCTCTCTTTGCCCCCATTATCTCTCTCCAATGTTTCACTGAGCAATGTGGTGGGTGAATAAAAGTGTTTGGCTTCAGTGCGGTTCAAGCACAGCTGGCCATGTTCGTTGGTGAAAACAGATTAAAACCACGGGGGGAAATAATTGATCTCTAGAGTCCAGCGATCAGTTGTGAAAAAGCAAAAAAAAAAAAAAAGGTTTCTGCAGCTGGGAAAGGAGAAGGCTAAACCAAAAATGAGCAATAGGATCCATTTAGAGGGGTTTCGTTTTTCTACTTTGCTTCCTTGTGTTAGATAGAAATTATTTCTGTGTGTACAGGGCAAAGCTAAACATGGGTAAAAGGAACCACCTTAATTTACTGGAATAATACTTTTTCAAAGGTCCAGGCTTCCATGCATATTCTAGAAAGGCTGGAAGGAATCAGGCAGAAGCTCTAAAAGGAAATAAATTCTGGCAGGAATAAGAAAGCCATGTTTTTGGATGGAGAATCTTTCCTTCTTTCCTAGCTATGATGCAGAAAATTTTGATGGCTTAGGACAGTGTTGGCGAACCTTTCTGGCACTGAGTGCTGAAAAGGGAGCACATGCATGCGTGCATGTAGGGGAGCACCAGAAACCGGAAAAGCAGCTCTTCCGGTTTCCAGCACTCCTGCGTGTACAAGACCAGCTGGCCAGCATGCATAGGCACACCGGAACACATAAGAGCAATAGGCGATGGCTGACGTGCCCAGAGAGATGGCTCTGCATGCCACTTCCGGCACGCATGCCATAGGTTTGCCATCACAGGCTTAGGGGAAAGTTCTGACAAACCCACCCCTCAAAAGCCACACTGAGATATACAAAAGTGGTAACTCCACCCTTCAAATTAGTTACAGTGAGCATGTGTGAGAAATGACCGTTCACACAGGCCTTTCTTTGCTGACTCTTCCTGTTCCTGAAGAGGCAAGGTGAATGGGAAAGACTTCCTTCCATTGGATGTTCATTGCAATGGTCAGAGTTACTTTGGTTTTTTTGGCAGAAGCTTTAAAATATTCATCCTCATGGGCACTTGTTGTTTTTCAGTCAGAATAATGATAACAGAATAACAGAATTGCAAGGGATCTTGGAGGTCTTCTAGTCCAACCCTCTACTTAAACAGGAGACCCTATCTCATTTCACACAAATGGTTGTCCTACCTCTTCTTAAAAAACCTTCAGTGTTGGAAGAGCCATAACTTCTGGAGACAAGCTATCCCACTGATTAATAGTTCTGTCAGAAAAAAAATTGCTTAATTCTAGGTTGGATCCATCCGTCCACGTTTCCATCCACTGCTTCTTGCTCTGCCTTCAGATGCTTTGGAGAATAGATTGACCCCTTCTTCTTTGTAGCAGCCCCTTAGATATTGGAAGACTACTATCATGTCACCCCTAGTCTTTCTTTTCATTAAACATCAGAGGTGGTATTCATCAGGTTCTGACCAGTTCTGGAGGACCAGCAGCGGAAATTTTGAGTAGTTCGGAGAACCGGCAAATACCACTTCTGACTGGAGATTTTACAGTATCCTTCCCCTGCCGCGCCCACCAAGCCACGTCCACAGAACTGGTAGTAAAAAAAATTGTATCCCACCAATGTTAAACATACACAATTCCTGCAACCATTTGCTAAGTCATCTCTGCCTCTTCACAACCCCATAGACCAGGGGTGTCAAACTCAAGGCCCAGGGGCCAGATCCAGCCCACGGGGTACTTAGGGTCACCTTAGGGCTACAGGGTCAGCCTGGAAACAGCAAAGGACCAGCCCATAGTGCCTCTGCCAAAAAAATGTTTTCACTGGCAGAGGGTTGCAGGAGGCCATCGCAGCCAAAAATGGAGCTTGCAAGGGCCATAGGCAGCCCTCCCAAGGTCCGTTTTCACTGGCAGAGGGTTGCAGTAGCCCATCGCAGCCGAAAGCATCGCTTGGGAGCCCATTTTTGATGACAGAGTGCTTGAGCTACCACAGGCATCCTGACATGAGCGATGTCAAGCAGGACATGCCCACATCAGTCCCCCCGGGATCAAACACAACCCTGATATGGCCCTCGATAAAATGTAGTTTGACACCCCTGCCATAGTCCATAGCATACCAGGCTCCCCTGTCCTTCCCTGTCTCCTGTATATCTACATTAAATTGCCTGTACCTCCAATCAAGGCTACTGAGTTGGCCACATTTTAACAACTTGGCATGTATCAGGCAACTCTGTGGACGCCTTGGGGGTAAACTGTAGCTCAGGTGAAGGACACCTGCATTGCATGCAGACAATCCAAAGTCAAGGATGTTCATCTTCATTTAAAACAAATGTGCCACCTGCAGGCTTGCAGCTATCTCTGACCCCTGAAGTCCAGCACATTGTAATTTGCACAGGACAGAACAGAAAACATGACTGGGAAAGCATTCATGCAAACTATAGTTAATTGTTAAGAAATGCAATCCAATTTAGTTTTTGACCTGGTCTCAACCATCGCTTTTGGAGAGCAACTTGCTGGATTTGCACAACACCGCTTAATTCAGCACTTTTTGGGGGGGTTACACACGTCACTGCACCATGACAAACCTAACAGGTTGGATTCACATAATGTGCTCAGCCAAAAAAAAGTTAGCCAAAGTTATCATTAACTAAGCTTTGCAAGTTATGGGAATGCAGAATAGAATAGAATTCTTTGTTGGCCAAGTATGATTGGACACACAAGGTATTTGTCTTGGTGCGAATGCTCTCAATGTACATAAAAAGAAAAGATACATTCGTCAAGAGTCAAGAATCGTAAGGTACATCACTTAATGATAGTCATAGGTACAATAAGCAATCAAATCATACTAGGAAACAGTCAATATAAATCATAAGGATACAAGCGACAAAGTTACAGTCATACAGTCACAAGTGGGAGGGGATGGGTGATAAGGAGTGATGAGAAGATTAACAGTAATAGTAGTGCAGACTTTGTAAATAGTTTGACAGTAGGTTAGGTCTTTAACTGGTCCAATTGTTGAAAACCCAAACCCCGTCAGTGTTTTAGATTTCGTAAAACCCTTTTTACCTTTCTTCTCGGGAGCAAGGCAGAAATTAGTATTGCAGGCTCGTGACATTGCAGGTTTCTGATGAAGCAGACACCCAGTAGCTGGCTGGCCTTGAAGGAGACACTGCACACTCCGTGTTTGTACTCCCCCACCACATGTCACTGTGCACTGTATGTGGAATGCAGGAGTAAGACATTAAAACCTTCGCACATTCTCCATTTTCAGGCAGTCCTCGACTTGTGAGCACAATGGAGTCCAACATTTCCACTGCTAAGCAAGGACATTGTTAAGTGAGTCCAGCCTCCCTTTACGACTTTTTTTTTTTTTTGCCACAGTTATTGAGCGAATCTCTGCAATTGTTAAATTAATCATGCAGTTGTTAAAGCAAATCTGGCTTCCCCCATTGACTCTGCTGGTCAAAAGCCATCTGGGAAGATTACGAAGAGTGAACCCTGGGATAGTGCAATTGTCATAAATACATGTCAGTTGCCAAGTGCCTAAATTTTGCTCATGTGACCATGGGGGATTCTGCAACTCTCATAAGTGTGAAAACAGTCATAGGTCACTTGGTTCAGTACCATTGCAACTTCAAATGGTCACGGAACAAATGCTTGTAAATTGAAGACTACCTGTAATCTTTATGCATAAGGTTGCAAATTTGACTTGGATCTAAGCAAATACAATTTAAAGTTCTCTATGCAGCTGATGAGTTCACATGATGAATTTGGGCCATTTAGTTTTTCCATGCTCATAAACTCCAAAGAGTGACTGTTATGAAAATAAAGTGAAAGATAGATCCATTTAAGTCATTTTGACTTTATCCAAGGAAGGATACAATTTATATACAATTAACACCTTAATAACATCTTTTCTTTTTAATGCTCTCTTTATAGAGATTACGACCATCTCCAAAGCTATCAAAAAGTATTTTGGCTGAACCCGAGATCATTTCAATATTTATTTATTTTTAAAACAAATAGTTGCCATAGAAATTACTCTCAATTCCTATATCTATTTATAGTCAGTGATTTCAGTTCATATTAAAGTTAATTCTAGTTCATTATGTTTGTTTTAGGTTGTAGACATTGTGCTCTACAATTGATATTTTTCAATGAACACCTGAAGTTATTTAGTAAGATATACTTTGGCATTAGTGCCAATTTTTTTTTTCTCTAAGGTCTTAATTCTTACAACTGAGATTGACTGGCTCAAATTTTCTCCCTCGTTAACTAGTTAGCTTAGTTTCTAGTTAAGTAGAGACTCCAATCTTGATTTTAATGATCCAAATCCAACACTATATTAGACTTCCTCTCACTGGAACATCACTTGATCTGGAACACAGAACATAAAATAGGGTTCATAATAGGGTTGCAATGGACCTTGGGGATCTCCTATTTCAACCACCTGCTCATGCAGGAGACCCTATATCATTCCAGACAAATGGCTATCCAGTCTCTTCTTTAAATCCTCCAGAGATGGAGCAGCACAACTTCTGGAGCTAAGCCATTCCATTGATTAATTGTTCTCATTGATTTCTCCTTAATTCTAGGTTACAGCTCTCTTTCATGATCTTCCACCCCATTACTTCTTGCCTGCCCCTCAAGTGCTTCGTAGAATAGGTTGACCTCTTCTTCTATATGAGAGCCCCCTCAAACACTAGAGTTTCGTTCAATATTATCTTCTCTTTTGACATCAGAATTTCCAAACATACAGAAGTACAATAAGTGGCCTTTTAACATTTTTAAATTTCTTTCATCTGGAGTCATTTGATAGCAGAGAATAACCTTTTGTGGGCAAACTGTCTGCTGTCCCAAAATGTCTCATTTGCTTTTGCTCACTGACAAATCTGAAAACCTATCAACTAGGCTGAACTTGCAGAGAAGTGCTGAGAGATAAGCACACTTTAAATTATTATTTTTTCTTTGCTTCTTTGTTGGAATTTATATTGCCATGGGCAGTTAGGAAATGTGAGGAACTTGCTCTGCTATTCTATGCAGGAACAAATAATGAGTTATTACAAGTCTAACCTAGAAGAAATTCCCTGAAGCACTGATGATGTGTGTGAATTTGTCTACCAAGGCTATGTCTACAAGACAAATACAATCATTTCCATCAGATTATTAAACCTGAGCATCCTCTATGGTCTGTCAAATGGATCTTAAGAGACAGATGACCCATGCAATGAAATAATTTCCAAAACACAGAAATGTGTTTGCAAGGCACACACTAATCCAGACATCACAGTAGTTAGAGAAACCCAAACAGCCTTTGTTGGTCCTTGAACTCATGGATTGTGCCTAAAAACTTTAAATGGTTCAAGTACAGTGCAAGTCTTTGAAGAATGAGTTGGGGGGGGGAGCACAAAATGCACAGGGTTACAACTGCAGGGATTTGGTGAACCCAGGGACAATTTTCATCTGCAACAACTGACTTAGCTCCACTAGTTTAATTACAGGTAATCCACAAATTATAATGGCAATGGAGCATGCCCACCATGGTCGTAAGTTGTGATGGTCATAAAGCAGGACGTCATGAAATCGGCCTGATTTTATTACCATTAGATAGAAGTTAAAAATGGTGAAAAAGGTCTTCTCCTGGAGGCATCCCGTGGTGGTTGTAGGAAAGACAAGGTTGATCCAAATGGACATTTAGTTGATTGCTATGTATCATCTTATGTTTATTGATTCTAATTATTACTCCCTTCCTGGATGGGAAAGCACTCACAGGTCCTTTTTCCAAATATTCATACAACCCAAAATTTGCAATAAAGAAGTTGACATAATTATAGGTGCCTTTATGTTGGCCCTTGCACATTTAACTCTTTATTCCCCAGTAAGTTCAAGGGCTTGCATATGCATAGCCTCTTAGTCTGCACCAGAACATCCTTACCTGCTGCCAAGGTGAAGAATACCACCCTGATATCCTATTGTACAGAGGATGCATAGGACATGGTCCTTGGTGGCATACTTCTTCCAAATCAATGCTTGGCTTCTTAAGATTTCGACAGCGACGCAATGGGAAAGTGATCAATTTGCCACCAATACTTTTCTCAATGCATTGCATTTCTCGCCTCCTAATGCCCAGCCCACAGGTAGAGGAACACTATAAATAAAAGAGGTACAGAGGTTCATTTAAAGCTGGTTTACAAAACATACAGCCCCACCACCAGATAAACTGCAGACTCCATATCCTTCCAAAATTGGACTTTTTGTGCTTTTGGAGATAAATGGGAATGTGAGTATTTTAAGCCTTTCAGAAGCTCGGAATATCTATTTTATCCTTATAATACCTGCCTATCAGACTGACTTTGGGTTCTGGCCTCATCAATTTTTGGAATGTGGCTCTTGACATGTTAAATAAAGCCCATAATGGCTCTTCAGCTGCCCAATGGTGCATTTATTTATTTATTTAGTCAAGCATGTATTTGATAATATAAGTATAAACATGAGTATTAATACATGAGATGGATATGAATAAAATGGAACATTAAGACAGGGACGATGGTGCATGTGTCTGATTCCAAAGGTATGTCCATCTCTGGTGATTAAGACCATTGGATATTTTCAAATACCTCACATCAGATCATGCTATTGATCCAATCAGATCCATTTTGTCTACATAAACTCCATTCACACGGCAAACTCCCATTTATTAAATCAACCACTATCACACCTCTAACAGTTTTGCAGACACAAGCAGCAATCATGACTTCCTCGACCAATACTTGGGGGGGGGCGTTCCCCTCTTCTTTCCCTCAAAATAATGCTATGTTTAGATACTTCTGTAGATTAGCCTTAAAAGCTTGGACAAGATGCTCATGTGTGCCTTTGGGTCAGTCTTGTCTTCTGGCAATTGACTGGACAAGTCCCTGCAGGGCATTTTGGTGACGTTTTCAGAAGTGGTTTGTCATAGCCTTCTTTCTAGGACTGAGACAGTATCACTGGCCCAAAGCTATCCAGGTGACCCATGGCAGGACTAGAACTTACTAGCCCAGTATTTTTAATCACTATCCCAAATGTCTCTCTAATTAACAGGGGTCTTCAAACTTGACAGGTTTAAGACTTGTGGACTTCAACTCCCAGAATTCCTCCTCTGGTCATGTTAGCTCAGGAATTCTGGGAGTTGAAGTCCACAAGTCTTAAACCTGTCAAGTTTGAAGACCCTTGCTCATTCTAACATATCCTACTTAATGTCTTTACTGATGATGATAGCAAGTTGATTTTTGCATTTTTGGCATTCATGTGCTTCAGCTCTTTATTCCCCTAAATTTAATGTTGCAAGTCTTTGTTAGAGTGCTGCTTCTGTTAGCCTTTATCTATTAAACTGTAAGAAGCTTCTTAGTGAAAAAGAACGAGAAATAGGAAAGTAAACCCTGAGGCTCTTCTTGATTGTAATATTTACAATGGACCATGTCTTAAGTTAGATCCAGCAAAGTTCCAAGATTCTTAAATCTATTTTAAAAAAAGGTGGGGACATCTTTAACAATAGACATCTTTAATCTTTAACATCTTTAACAATAGATTACGTGTTTTTGTATATTTTTCATGTTGTGTTTTCTAGACAGGCCTCATTACATGACTCAAATAAGCATCGTTGCTTTACCTCACTCCAAGCAGAGATCACCCATTGAAGACGCTCATTTTTAGGGCATCGTCCCAACACGCAGGTCTGTTGCACTTCTGGCTTGGTTCCGCTGTTGCACAAACTCTCTGGCACGATTTTTAAGATGGATGTTCCTACACTTTTGCAGGAAACATCACGTTTCATTATGCCTCGTCCACAGGTTTTGGAACACTGTATGGGATTGGGAGAAAGTCTGATGTTAGTAACCTTAAAACTGAGCCTGTTCTACTGTCATAACACACTAAGACACATTTCATCCCATTCTTAATTATATACTGCATATATAACTACCCATTTTTCCTCCAGGAGAAAATCCAACATATCAAGTTCCGAGGAAGATTTCCAGAGCAGCTATTTATTTATTTTATTTCCATCCTGCTTTTCTGTTTCTTCAACAACTCTAATAGTTTACAATGCCTTAAACCAGGATCCCTTAACTTCATCATGGAACTTAAAGCTATGCTCAGATTATATATTTAGTTATCTATGAGGCCAGATCAAATTATATATTCTTAGGTAGTTATATATATTCTATGGGGATGTGATGGCTCAGTGGCTAAGATGCTGAGCTTGTTGATCAGAAAGGTCGGCAGTTTGGCGGTTCGAATCCCTAGCGCCGCGTAATAGAGTGACCTCCCGTTACTTGTCCCAGCTTCTGCCAACCTAGCAGTTCAAAGCATGCAAAAATGCAAGTAGAAAAATAGGTCCCACTTTGGTGGGAAGGTGACAGCATTCCGTGCACCTTCGGTGTTTAGTCATGCTGGCCACATGGCCACGGAGACGTCTTCGGACAGCGCTGGCTCTTCGGCTTTGTAACGGAAATGAGCACCACCCCCTAGAGCCGGAAACGACTAGTGCCTATGTGTGAGGGGAACTTTAGGTAGTCATCATTTCTGAAACATTTCTGTCGACCATTTTCACCCCACTCAATATACTCCAGCAATTAGACAGATTCTATGAGCATTTGGCAGGAATTAGCTACCAGTTAGAGCCACCGATAGCTCTCCAATTTATCCATAAAGCCCTCCAAAAGCTGACTTTTTGATTGCATTTTGCAAAAAAAAAAAAAAAAAAAGCCATTTCATCTTCGTCCTGCAATCTCTACTCTATCCCAAACACCAAACGTCCTTTTTTTTTGCTAGTCACTTCTAGCTTATAACTCGGGCTAATGATAGATGAAGCAGTGTGTTTCAGAAAAGTAAGATAATACTCTCCCGTCTTAAAGAATGCTCATTAAGAGAAAGAATTTGATGGGGGAGGGGGCTTTCATAGCTGGGGCTCCCCCTCTCTCTTTTTTTTTTTTCAGAAGAGGCTGAAAGATTTTTTTTTTTTTTTTGCAATAGCATATTCACTTAAATGAAATCTGGGATACGTCTGTCTTGGCAAATGTACAAAACAGCAAGACTTTGTTTCACTCCAGTGAAAAGGCTGCTAGACATTTCATATCTTTCAGAAAAGGGGTGTGTGTGTACACATATTGGAATTTGCCTGAGGCCCTATGCTACCAACTCTGCTTTTAAGAGCAGGGTTTTTTTTTTTTAACTATATTATGATATTAGGTTGCTTGAAATGACACATTATCTAAATGGGGGGGAAAAACATCCTTCATTTTGCTGGATGTTGTTGATCATCACTGAACATTTAATGCCTACTTTGGAAAAATGAATTCGCATGTGCTTAGTGAAGTAATTAATAATAGCTGCCTCTAGCTTATTCAGGTTTTTTTTTATTATTATTATTTCTTCTTAGTACTCTGCTACGGAAAGTTTAATTTTGCCCAGCTATGTGTCATTTGTTGCCCTACCTGGGGGTCTAGGACAACTCAGTATGGCCAACTCGCTGCAACCAACTCACTGTGGGGCAACTTGTCATAGCCAACTTGCCACGGGCAAAATGAAATGCATATGACAATTTTTTTAAAAAATAAATCATTGTAAATACTTAAATTGAACTGTTGGATTTTCCCACAGAAAGTTGTCCCATGGTGAGTTGGCTATGGTGAGTTGGCTGCACCAAGTTCTCCCATTCCACTACCTGGAGGAATTGTGAAGGTAGCACAAGCTCTTATCACCATTTTTTTTTTTTTTTTTGGACTGCTGCAATGAGCTACCTATGAAGCTATGGAGCTACCTATGAAGATCACCTGGAACTACAAAGTGCCACAACCTTAGTTGAAATCTAGGTGGAACTAGAGGACAATATGACCACATGCTTCAGGCCTTCCATGGCTTTCTGTAGACCAGTACAATTCCGACTGCTGGTTTTACTCTTTAAATCACTATTGGTTTGGCATTGAAGCATTCTGATCTAATTTTGACCCACCCAACATATGTGTCTCAGGAGAACCTGCTAGTGGTTTCTCATTTCCACAAATTCAGGGAGATAGAGGTTCATCAATTTTGTTGCCCTTTTGTGCACCTGGAATAGCCTGACCACAGATTTCCCTCAAGCCTCACATTGTTAACTTTCTATTATTTAAAAAAACCTGAGCCAATTTAGAAACTCTTTGAAGTATGATGGGATACAGTTAGTTTATTTCTTTGTACATATATGTGGTTGTTGAGATTTATTTTATCTTTTTAATTCTGTCTTAATTTACTAGGTTGTGGATAATTTACCATACTATTTTATGGATGCACTACAAAATGCCAAATATCAGTAAACAAACCTACTAACTTACCTTGAAAAATGAGATTCGCGTGTTTTGATAAGTTTTGTTTGAGATACTCTGAACACATTAAAAATTGTATGAACTGATTCTGCTCCCAATATCAAAATGATTTCTGCATCCATTCACTGATCGCCATGTGTTTAGAGATCAGAAGTGCCTTTCCATGGAGTACAAGAGTTTTATTATACGTCATAGAATAACAGAGTTGGAAGGGACCTTGGAAGTCTTCTAATCTACTCCCTTCTCAAACAGAAAAAACTATACCATTCCAGACAAGTGTTTGTCCATTGAAAACCTCCAATGATGGAACACCCACCATTGCTGGAAGCAATCCATTCCAATGGTGAATTGTTCTCACAGTCAGGAATTCTCTCCTTAGTTCTAGGCTGGATTTCTTTTTAATGATTTTTCATGTTATTTCTTGTTCAGCCCTCCGGTGCTTTGGACAATAGATTGAGCCCCTTTTCCTTATGACAATCCCTAAAATACTTCAAGACTGCTATCATGTCATCTCTATTATTTCTCTTCGTTACACGAGACAAAGCTAGTTCCTGTAACCATTCAGATATCAGATAATCAGAGTTGGAAGGGACCTTGTAGGTCATCTAGCTCTGCCCAAGCGGAAGTCCCTACACCCTTTCTGATGCATGGCAGTCCAATCTCTTCTTGAAAGTCTCAAATAATGCTGCTCCTACAACTTCCGAGGGCAAGCTGTTCCGTTGGTTGATTGTTCTCACTGTCAGAAAATTTCTGCTTATTTCCAAGTTAAATCTCTCCTTGTTCGGTTTCCATCCATTGTTCCTTGTCTGGCCTTCAGGTGCTTTAGAGAATAGCTTGACCCCTTCCTCCTCTCTATGGCAGCCCCTCAAATATTGGAAGACTGCTATCGTGTCTCCCCTGGTCCTTCTCTTCACTAGACTAGCCATACCCAGTTCCTGCAACTGTTCTTCATATGTTTTAGCCTCCAGTCCTGTAATCATCCTGGTTGCTCTTCTCTGCACTTTTTCTAGTGTCTCAACATCTTTTTTTATAATGTGGTCACCAAAAGTGGATGCAGTATTCTAGGTGTGGTCTTACATTAGTGTGGTCTTATATTCATTGTATAGTTTACTAATATGGCTGCTCTCCAGGTACCTGAACTTCAACTCCTCAAATTCCAAAGTACACACACACACACAGGTACATTTCTCTAATATGAATATATTGAGAGCTGAGGAATTTTTGAAATGTAAATAAATGTAAATTTATGTAAATAGCCAGATTGTATGTTCACAATTAAAATAAACATTTCTCTCCAAACCAAGGATAATAAATGGTGCACACCAGTGTGTATTCAATTTTTTTATTACCGGTTCTGTGGGCGTGGCTTGGTGAGGGTGGCTTGGTGGGCATGGCAGGGGAAAGATATTGTAAAATCTCCATTCCCTCCCCACCCCACTAATCTGCTTTCCAGCTCCGTTCTTCTGTGCAGGGCAACCAAAGAAGACCCAGCCGATCAGCTGGGATTCGAGAGGCAGCGAATAAATGAGGGCGGGGCCAACCAGAAGTGGTATACTGGTTCTCTGAACTACTCAAAATTTCTGCTACCGGTTCTCCAGAACAGGTCAGAACTGGCTGAATACCACCTCTGGTGCACACTATGGAGATTCTCAGTCATCCAGGTCATGGTTGCCCCAAAAGTGCTTTTTCAAAAGGCAACTGGATTTTCTTTGAAAATGTTTCGTTTCTCATCCAAGAATTGGATGTGAAGTGAAACATCTTCAAAGAAAAACCAGAAAGTTCAGTTGCCTCTTGAAGAAGCACCCTTTGGGACAAATGGAGGACACATATAGGATGATGTTCATAATCAAAAATAGACAGTCCATTCTTCCTAGATTATATGCTGGTTGGCTTCCAACCATTTTTCTTTAGGCTCCCATCTCAATAGAAGATTGTGGCAACTTTAAAAAAAAAAATTACCTGTGACCAAGGCCCAGGATTCCATTCCGGTGGACAGTCCTGGTTATTACATGCCTGTATTTGTGCTGGAGTGGTAACTGGACAGACAGCATGAGCCACAACCTCTTCCTTATGAAAAGCCTTTTTCTGGACACACTGGATATGACGGCTTTGCTGTCCCCCACCACAGGACTGGCTGCAAATGCTCCATTCACCTGCTGACCAACTGAAAAATATATAGACATATATGGCATATCCCCTTGTGGTTCTTATTAGTAGTGTAAGTCTTCCTCAATTGCAGGTCCTCCACCAGAGGCCTGGGAATTTGAGTGTTCTGTGCAGAATCTCAGCTATTCCTAACCCTGTACTCTTCTGGCTCTAATATTCTTGGAATCTGTTGGAATCACTTGCCCAGATTAGGTGTCACAGCCTCAGTTGCTCCTACCACCACTGGGATCACTTTGACATTTATTTTCAACATCCTCTTCAGTTTTTCCTTCAGGGCCTGCTACTTCTCCAGATTCTCATATAGCTTCTTTCTGAAATTATTGTCACTTAGCACAGCTATTTCTATCACTACTGCTGTTTTTTTGCTCCTTGTCTACTACCACAATGTCTGGTTGAAATACATGTGTACTGATTCTGAAGCGGAGGTTGAATTTGTGGCTCTTGGTCCATTTTCTTGCAATTTTTTAAAGACCTGTGGAAGATGTGAAGCCACAACTCTGGAAATAATTATTTGTCCCCTTTTTTCAGCTGAGGAAGGAATAATGAAGGTGCTAAGCACTGATTGCTTTAGACTCATTTAAAATTATTCATGGGCTATGTTTTAATTAACAAGTTATTCGATCAAGGAGCCAAATAAAAGCACCTACATACAGATTTATTTAGTTTATATTCTATTTTATATGCTCTGTTCAAAAAGAAAGAGAAATATTTCAAGACAGGAAAAGACAGTAAAAAAACACACTATAACTTTAATTAACAAGTCGTTTTGGGAGAAAAATGTTGAATAAACCCAAATGTCTCTTCAATCTGAATGCATGTAATTGAAGCATAATGACATGCTTGATGTTTTTATATATTTTATGCCACTTGCATCAAATGAAATAATCTGATGAAAATTAGATAAAGCATCAATTATGTCATTACACAGATAAGATAATTGGTGCAAATGATGAAAACATCAATTAAGTCATTACAGAAATGATGTAAATAACATTAATTGTTTGGATAAACTTCAGAAACAAAGGACTTCATTATTTTGAGGGGGTAAATTTTAAATGCAAATTTGGCCTGTTGCGTTCAAAGTCCATTAAAAGGAGGTCATTGAATGGAAGTTTTACTTGGATTTTTTTTCTATTTTAAATGTGATCATTGTGATCTTCAACTCTATTGCTTTAGAATTTTGCTCTCAGGAAAACATTTACTTGAATCATATTAGATATATGATATAAAAATTACCTATATTAAAGATATGCAAACTGTTTTGAACTCAAACTACTAGCAATTGTAAATAGTTTGCATTTATTTTTTTATAGTTGTTGTACAATACTTAGTGGGTTGAGAATGGGGTGGAGAACAAAGTAAATTAGGAGAACAAATAATAAAGCAATTACATAAAATGGGCTGTACAGATCCCACTCAAATTCATATCTGTATTATTTTACTTCACTGTCTTCTCTCTCATTTTATCTGGTTTGCATGAATTTTGATTCTTATTAGAGATTCCACCTACGGCTGCTAAATAATTTGGACAGTGACATTGATTGTTGTCTAAGGATTCTGATTTGAACATACTTTGCCTGGATGCTGAAAATGTTAGTGTTTTTTAATCTCAGGGCAAAACAAAGTTAAACCAATTAAAATTGAATCCTTACATTATTAACACTGAATATACAGGCAAACCTGACATTCCTCAGAATTAAAAACCCTCTTACATTGGCAAAACTCTTCCCAGACTTCATTTGAACTGCTCACTCCTAAAGGACTTCTTCAGTTTTATTACAAGGCATGGCCTACAACCATTCCCCTCCTACAGGTGTATTATACCCTTGAAACTGGGAAAGGAGCCTGGCTCCATGATGTGTTAACTACATGGAAGAAAATCAAACTATGAAATGCACATGGCAGATATAGATATCAGTAGATATAGTAGATATAGTTCATGGATTTCAAAAATGTAAAATAATTTAGTTCTAACTGTGCTGTCCCAGCCAGTCTATGGGAATTGGATAGTTACTTTGGAATTATGAGCTGTCCCCTTAAGGGAATGCATCATGGTAAATGTAGTTAAAGGTATCCTGGGAAATGTAGTTCATGTCACGTGGCCACATTTGTAATCCTGATTGGTCACTAGTTTGACCCTCGAGGGGTTGGGGGAAGTTTTCCTCATTCTTTGTCTGAACTCTCTTACTCATGGCACCTTCTTTCTATGGCTACAAGATGGGTTAGGAGATAACCATCTTTTACTACAAGGCAGATATACAAAGGATTGGTCATAAAAGAAGAACTTTGTCACAAACGTGAGTTATGAGGATACCTGATGAACCAATAAATGTTCTTTGTTATGGATGTCCTGTTGAGTTATCTTTCTGCATCTGTACAGTTTATAAATCCACCTCTTTACAAGATACAGAAAACTAACTAAAGCCTTTCTTTGACCTGCTTCCCTTTCTGTGGCCAACAGAGCTGGACAGCTAGCCTTGTCACCAAAGCATCACAGTTGGAAAACAGTATCTTCTAATGATACATCTAAGATTCATACACCAGCTGCAAAGTACAGCTTGTATTTAGCACCATAGCCAAAGCATGCCACGATAGCTACTTGTGTGGTTCTTTCACCAATTAAAATAAATGCTATGTTTTGGAAGCTTCCAGCCACAATTAAAAGGCAAATACAAACATCTACAAGGAAGGCTGAAGGAAACTTAATGGAAGGCTTTTCTCTCTGAGAGAAAGCAGAGCCCAGGGTATAGAAATAAGCCTTTGGCAGAAGATTAGTCACACCCAGACAGAATCCTCGGCCAGAGAGATTATCTTAAATTAGTTGTCAGACAATGGCATGGCTCAAAGCAAGGCAATAACATTGCTAAAACTATCACATGATACGTTACCCTAATTAAACCTTATCTCTGCCTTTTTGTGATTCTCTTACAGTTTCCTCAGCATCTCCTGCAGTGTGTGTTTGTGTACAAGTGCTTATGTGTCATCTACCAGACTCCTTATTACAGAGGAGCAGAACATAAAAATGCCAATGAGCCCAGAGGTGGGATTCAACCAGTGTTACTACCGGTTCAGTGACTACATTTTGCGCTGTGCATGCGTGTAAAAAACCTTAAACTATGCCGCCCAGACAACTGAAAAGCACTGTATGGAGGTGCACAGCGTTTGAAAAGCCACTTTTTTCCTGCTTTTTCAACCTCAGCTGGGCCGCTCAAAGCAGCTGAGATTGAAAAAGCAGGAAATAAAGGACAGGTAAGTGTCCGGGCGGGCAGGTGGGCCAAAGAGCAGCAAACACAGAACCGATTCAGTGTCTGCTGCTCTTCAGAGCTACTGGTTCTACAGAGCCGGGCAGAACTGGTAGCATCCCGCCCCTGAATGAGCATTTCTTCATAGCAAAACTGTACTGAATTTACAAATTGTAAAACAGGGCAGCTCCCTTGTTTCTTTTTGTTGGGCATCTTGAAGCATAGATCTTTCTGGTGATTTATCTAAAATCACCTTTAACTACAAAAGAATTCTCTTTAAGAATTCAGAGCTTTCTCAGTCTGGTCTGCAATTGTCCAAATTCATTGAAATTGATCAGCACAAGATGCTCATTATCTAGAGATATAATCCTCAAAAAAAAGTTTGCTCTTTGCATATCAAGTTTCAACTGTGAATAAGATATGGCTTGATTTATGCTGATTAGGACCTGTTTATTGCACAAGCTGAACATTTTATCAATCCCTTGCTATTGTCCTGCCCTCAGAGAATAGGTCAACCCGCTCTTCTCTGTGACAGTATCTCAGATATTGGAAGACTGCTATCATAGTCATTCTCTTCATTAGACTGGACAAACCCAGTGTGATGACCCGGGGCACAAAGGCATCACAGTCAGATACTCAGTAGGAATCTCTTTATTAGCTCCAACTTTGCCCCTAATGTCCTGGTTACCTTCTGGGCTGGAAAAAACTCTCCCAGAATCAAGTCCAAAACGTGATCAACAAAAACTGTAATTATAAGTTCAATCAAGGCAAGATGAGGAAATTAGTTCGGCAGGACAAGAGAAGGAATTCCAGACATAAAAGAACGGCAGTAATTCAACATGGTTGGGAGGATGCCAGGAACGCAGATAACAAAAGTCAACACAAGATAAACTCACATTTGTTCCCAGCAGATGCTGCACTCAGCATGCATCTCTTTTAAACTCTCTTCCCAAGTGTGGCTAATGAAAGGAATCAGGGCCCTTTCCTCCCCCGTAAGCCATGCAACCCACATTGCTCTCCTCTCCGTTCCTCCCTGCATGCCCTAGGATGAAGAGGGAGTGGGCCAATATTCCTCTGAACTCCCTCTCCCTTGTTCTACATCCCCCTGCTCTGCCCAGCCAGACCTTGCCTTTCCTCAGTTTCCTCCAAAGCCAATGGAGCCCCACTCCCACTCCCTGTCAACTGTTCATCTTCCTCCTCAGATTCAGACTCCGACAGGGGCATGACACCCAGTTCCTGCAACCATTCATCATATGTTTTAGACTTCAGACCATTTATCATCTTTGTTGCTCTTTTCTTCATTCTTTCTAAAGTCTCAACATCTTACTTGTATTGTGTATTGTATTCTATTGTACCTTCAGTTACTTCAGTGCAGAGACAATCTATGACTATCTGAGTCAGAATTCAAGCTTTTTGCTCCACTGCTTGTCTATGCAAGCAGCACAGTTAAATCTTCACAGTTGTTCCACAATCATCCTTAAACTCTAGTTACATTTGGGGATTGTCAGCTAAAGCAAAAGTCTATACTTACTAGGCTGGGCAAGGATTTGCATTGCACATCATGGTTTCTGTTAAAGGTTTTGTCCTTGGGCCACAAAATGAAGAATTTACACGGGTTTGATGATCCTGTAAACACACAGCTTTGGCTATCAAATGTCCTGCAAGGAATTTTACAAAAAAAAAAAAAACATTTAAAGGAAATACAGAAGATACTAAATAATTCTCACAAAAATATAAAGACATCTAACATGCTGATACCATTGGTTTAATTCTTCATGCCTATTTCCCCCCATCTCATTATTTAAATAGCAGTAGATAACATTGTCCTGATGAATCCCATTCTCAAGCTTGCTAATTCTTTACTTTTGTTATTCTAATGTCAAAATGTTATACCAACACAGGTCCCATGGTGCAAAGCCAAAGCCGGACTGGTACTTCCAACAATGCTTTTAAGAGGCCTCAGAGGCATTCTTAAAAAAATATAAATGGTGGGTTTCTGATTACCTGTTTAGAAACATTATAAAGATATGCTAGAGTGGCCACAAATATTCTACAGGGCTAAAGGGAACCCTGAGGAGCAATCTCATTAACTTGTCTTCTAGTAAATGGATATGTTGTAATTGGCCATACCCATCATGGATCAATTTTATGAAGAGGCAAGCCCTCACATGATAACCATTTTATGAGAAACACAACCTGACCTCATAACTGTATCCAATATTTAGCCGTAAATGTGTTTCTCCCCATCAAGTAGGAGGAAGTGTTGACGCATACCTGCCTTTTCATTAAAATAATCTTTTAATAAAAGAAAGCAATATAAATGTTACATGGGGAACAAAGAGTGACAGAGCCAAAGATACAAAATGCCTATCGCCAAGTTAAAGACAATATGAGCAATCCCTGAAAGGTTTTTTTTTTTTTAATGTGGTCTTTGGCCGTAAACTCAATGCCAACAGCTATGGGCTTTCTCACAGGGAACTGTTTTTAATATTACTAACAATGGACATTCTTGAAACTCCCGATTTTATGAGCTAACAGGAGGGGAGTTAACTGACTGAGGAAATCAACTTTGTCAGGAGGAATTCAAAAACAGAAGACCAAGAGGCAGGAAGGAAAAAAGGAGCAAATTTTAGGAAGTAGAAATGTAATTCCTCTGCTTTGATTTATTGTGTGTGTGTATGTGTGTGTGTAAATAAAACAAAACATAAAAACACATCAAATCAGCAATAGCTAAATCACACACAGTGATCTGAAAAAAAAAGTACATAGAAGTTGTAAGCCACCCAGGGTTACCTTGAGGTAGGTCAAGAGGCCTATAACTTTTATAAATAAGATAAAAAAATAAAAAGTATGTAGAAATACATGAAAACATACATCAACAAAAGACTTGCTACAGCTCAGTTTGTAAATCACAAAGTGAAGTTTGATCACAACAGAAGATATTGCCTAATATTTCCTTTATACTAATAAAGACACTATTCAAAGGTTGAGAGGTGATAAAAATTAATCAAACTTTGGTATACAGTATACCGAATATAAAACAGGACAATTCTTCTCACATAGAAAAACTCAAAATCGTTAGCATACAATTTAGCAATGCTTTGGCACCTTTAAATTTCACTTCTTCCCAAGACCCATAATAATTGTTTCCCATAATAATCAGAATCTTCAATCAATAAGAAGCTACTGAAAAGATTTTACCAATGCATATATAGTAATGTACCTTCAGAATTTATTATTATTTTAAATTTGTTAAATTTAATTGCCTCCTCTCTCACTGTAGGGCTATTCTAGGTGGTTTATAACAGTAAAAATAAAGAAAAGAAATAAATTTAACAGTAGCAAAGCAATGAAAGAAAGAATGAAAACACAGCAAGATGAGATTGAAAGGTGGATGGGAGAATGCTGAAGGGGAAGGAGGGGTTTGCTATCAATCTAGTAAACACTTCCAGTGTAATGACTGCATCTCAAATCAAAGACTGACAACAATCAGCCTTTTTAAAATATCCTCTGAGAATTCCAAAAGACTCCAATAAATAAATAAGTAAACCTTGTTTTAAGATAATAATACAAACATGTAATGCTGGTTTTATGATAATAATAAATGCATTTAGAGTTCCTTAAAACCTTTGGAGTGTTTCTACTCCAAATTTCCTGGATAGTCTTTGTGTGTATTTTAGCATAGTTGTTTAAATTGTCAATAAAATGTAACCTTGGTCTCAAAAAATACTTTCTCTAACACATTCAAACCTGTAGGGGTTTCTGAGGCAGCCAACACACCTGCTCCTAACAAAAAGAGTAACAAATGCTTACTATACTTCCATTCAGCTCTTTTTGGAAAATCATATTCTCTGGGGGGAAAATGTAAGAGATTTTCTGCCTCAATCAATGAAAATTTTGAAAGTATCTTAGTAAAAGACTTTAAGAATTTTGTCTCTCGGTATAAAAAGTTGAACTACATACAGCAGGGGTCTTCAAACTTGACAGCTTTAAGACTTGACTTCAACTCCCAGAATTCCTCCTCCAGTCATGTTAGCTTAGGAATTCTGGGAGTTGAAGTCCAGAAGTCTTAAACTTGCCAAGTTTGAAGACCCCTGACATACAGGGAGGAGGTGGCCCTTACTCAATATTCAGTGACTGTTATGATGGTGTTGAACAAGGGGAACCAGTCCTCATTTTTGCAGCCATTGCAGTGTCCCCCGTGGTTATGTGATCACAATCTGGCTGCTCAGTGTCCAGTTCACAATTACGATGGTTGCACCATCTCACAGTCCCAGAATTATGATTTGCAGCCTTCACTGCTGGCTTCCAACAAGCTAAGTCAAGAGGAGGTTGGAAATGATGATGCAACATTGCCCTTAACAAGAGAGGAGACTGAAATGGTTTTCCATGGGAAGAAAAATATCAAAGTAATCAATCATGGGAAAACATGGGAATTTAACTGGAAAGAAATGAATTGAGGGCCAATAATTCAGTAATTATTGAATTCAGTAAGTTCAGTGGATTTCAGTGTTAAATTCTGCAGTTTTGGACAATCCTAAATAAATAGGGGGGGGGGGGGAAGAAGACATATTTTGGGCAAATTTGACATACTCACCCCCACCACAGGTCGCTGAGCAATCTGATTGCACCATCACCCATGAGTAGCTATGTCTTTTTGTGAATATCTTATTCTCATTATTCACCATAGATAAGGCATACTTCCACGAAATGCCAGGATTTTTCCCTTGTAACAGCACCTAATTATCATAAGAGGGTAAAAAAATGATGGAGCACGCATAACTTCAGAAAGCAAGTCATTCCACCAATTAATTGTTCCCACTGATACAAAATTTCTTCTTAATTCTGGTTGGATCTCTCTTTAATGAGCTTTCACCCATTGTCTCTTCTCCTGCAGTTGGGTTCCTACTGAATTTTCATCCTAGGAATTTGGTACAAACAAACAAACAAAAGAAACACAGCCTATTGCCTGGCTTTGCCCACTCACTTCCTGCTCATAAATGCAGTACAACCTCCTCATTTTGTGGACTACCCACATCTGTCTTTTTCATAATGACCATGTAATTAGACAGCTGTCAATTATGAACATATTAGACAACTAATAGGAGGCAGGGGTCTACCCGTTTTCAGTTGTGGCTTTTCCTGGAGAGAGGCTCTGGCATTTGTAAACTGTCTTTATTGCTTTCTGATTAGATTACTGCAATAAACCCTACAGGGAGCTGCAGCAGACAACTATTTTCCTGTCAATAAAAATTGTGATCTCAGTCTTGACGTGTTACTATAATTTCATTAAGTATATGGACCATTATACATCCCTGCTTTAGAGTGAAATCCCTTTTTATTCACTCTTGTCCATCTCAGATGATATAGAAGAACTGAAGGATACAGGTTAAGATTTTGGTGATAATAAGTGTGAAATTAATGCATTAAGAGTGTTTAATGATATGCATTGGTGCAATAGATTTTTTTTTTTTTTAGAAAAAGCCATGTAAAGCATCAACAAGATTCTGCAAAAGACATTTCTGATCATTTATAATCTAAATGCAAACAATGGAAGATTTTTAAACACAATCACTTTAAATTAGGGACAAGTATCTTTCTCATCTCTTTCACATCCATAAATCTTCTTTGCATAATTCATGAATGAATTGACAAAAAATCCACTAAATCTTAGGTAAAGGTTCACATGTAAGCATAATTTATTTGCATTGTATTTTTCTTTTTAATTGCTTTATAAAACTGTAGGATTTAGCTACTTCCTCGAGAAAAATAAAAGCTATAATATCAGTATTTTAATATTCAAGCCTCCCCATTTGATTAATCTGTGCAAGGTTAAAGTGTGAATTCCAATTATGTCTTTGTTTTGAAGATGGATTTAATTGACAGAAACATGGTACACTGCCAATATCAACTGGGCTAAATCTACGGAGGGATGTAGAAAGTAAAAGAGAACTAATAAGGAAAAGTTTCATGGGGGAAAAACAAAAATCAAGATTAATTAACATTTTTCAAGTCAAGACAGTCAGATATGGAAGTGGAGATCACATGTGGGGAAAATGATCTAAAACAAAGTCAATTGTTACTCCCAAAAAAGTGGGGAGGTGTCCATGTCCAGAGACACTGAACATATAACATCTGAGTAGTTTTCTATTGACTACTTGTACAGCAAATTGTGTGGTTTGGGATGGGAAAAGGAAAAAAAAAGAAAAATTGGAAGAATGATATGTTTTCCAGTTCTATTAGCCAGTTTCTATTTCAGTCCATGAATTCTGGGAGAACTCCAACATGGATATCCATCACCTAGTCCAGCAGTATACTGTATTCAGAAAAACTAATAGCTTGGCTTTCTGATTTATTGCAAGATCCAGAATTGAGAAATTAGGAAGATGTAATATAACATATGAGGCTTTTTTAAAAAAAGGGATGTTTATCCTCCATATCCACCCTCACAAGGGGCTAACCTATGTTACAATACAGACTACAAAACATTCAAATGTGGTTGATCATTAATAACATTTCAAAGACTGTGGAATATAGATTTAGTTGATATAAAGATAGATGTAGATGTCGATTAAATATAGATACGAAGAGGCAGTTTGGTGTATAGATTAAGGTACAAGGTTAGAAACCTGGAGGCTATGAACTCTAGTCTAGTCCCATTTTAGGTGTAAAGCCAACAGGGAAACCTTAAGCCAGTCACTTTCTCTCAGCCCTAAGAAGGAGGCAATGGCAAACCACTTCTGAAATTTTGCCAAAAAGAACTGCAGGGACTTGTTCAAGCAGTTACCAGGAACCCACATTGTCTCAAAGCATCACAAAAAGATTGACAGATATAGATATTGCTATAGATAATTTGATTCAATAAGATAGTGCTTAATTTTTTATTAGAAGCATCCTGAATATCTCAGTGGCTTTAATATAATCTATTTTTAAAGCCAAGACTGGGTTTTTTGATTCTGTCATGGTTTTACTCCTATTACACAAATAGTAGCATACTGAAGGGCAGCAATCCTGGGAAACCACTTCAATATCAACGTTTGAATTGGTCTAGAAGATCTCCAATGTCTCCTTCCAACTCTGTAAATTCTGTTATTTAATGTTTTAGTGTGACTGCTGGGAGCAACAGGAATTGTACAGGGCTGGGTCAAAATCTTATGTGAATGGCGTTCAACTAGATTTCCCCTTTTATCTTCATCCAGAGTGCCCATTTCCCTGATCGGCACCGTCAGATACCAGATTGCAATCTAAATGAAACCTAACCAATTAAAATTTAATCCAGACACTTAAGTATTTGGTGGAGAGAGTTCAGGATCTGAGATCCTGTGCTGTTCCTGAACACTCAGAATAGGGATGATGGCCAAGAACATTTATGAGCAGCTGTAGATGATTCTGAACTACATCCTGTCTCTAAAAGCTAGCTCTTTTCCTTACATTGTTTATCTCTATTTAGATTTGTAGGAGACTCCTCATTGAGATATCTTTAATTTGCAGAGGGTTCAAAATGTGGCAGGAAACCTCTGTCAGGGGTCTCCTGGTAGGAGTAGCTAACATTTAATTTGCCTAGCAAATGCATCAGGAAATTATTTTTCTTTGGGCTCTGACGTATTTGCTGGTTTTATTGTTTAAGGGCTTCCCTTTAAGTTCAGAGCACAGGGATATAACTGAGCAAAATCAAGTCACAGAAGTTAAAAAATAGAAAATTAGCTTGAAGATGGCCATAGAAACACATTACCAGGCCCTTCTAAAAACCCATTTATTTATCATCCAGCTTCAGCAAGAAGACATAGGAAATCCCAGTTGAAAGCTATGGAAAGTTTGCATGGATATGAAACAAATACTCTGGCTTTATCCTGAATGACCACGAAACTACAAAGCATATCCGTGTTCATGTTCTTTTATTAAGACAGAATTACCATTAAACTAGGGACGCGGTGGCTCAATGGCTAAGACGCTGAGCTTGTTGATCAGAAAGATCAACAGTTTGGCAGTTCGAATCCCTCGCACTGCGTAACAGAGTGAGCTCCCGGTACTAGAGCCAGAAATGACTAGCACATATGTGCGAGGGGAAACTTTGCCTTTACCATCAAACTGCCTTCTATACAGAAGCAAATTCCTACAGAATACATCAAACGAATGTTGGGCATACATCTGGAATGTTGCCATTCACAATGATACAAGCACATTTGCTTTTGAAATATTTACTGAAGGAGAAGAGAATTTCAGTGAAATTTTCAGGGTTGGAACATTATGTTCTTGTACTTCTTTACTGACCAAGTGCACAAAGGCGAGAAAGGAAAATTGTCTGTCTTTCATTATACAAGCATCTCTCCAGGGTTCTGAAACCTCTTTGGATTCCCAGGAATCCATTAAATCCACAGAAATCTATTCCAAAAGGCCTTTTTTTTTTTCAGATTCCGAATTGTGGGTGATCTGGGATATTTCAGAGGGAAGACACATCCCGGGAAAAACCCAAAATTCCAATAGTAATCCTTCACAGCGAAGCAACTTACAGAAGAAAAAAAAATGGCCGAGAGAAATGCAAGAGAATTGTTCCAAATCAGAAGAAGCTTTAGAAACAGAAGCCTCTTTCTCAGGAGGTTAAAAAAAAAAAAAAAAAAGCTTCTGTTGATTTGCAAGGTCAATTTCATCACAGCATTAGATAAAATAGCTCTGGCTACAATAGTGTGAAGTGTTCAAGTTCCAAGACAATCCCCTTTCTGGTAATACAATACCCAAGGTTAGCAAATAATGCCTTGTGACAAAAAAAATTGACAATTTTGGAAAGGCTTCCAAGCACTTCCATCTACTTACCTGGAGAGATTCCAGGTAGAAACATCCCAGCCAACTGGCATTAGATCTTAAATTTACAGCTGGCAAACAACCCCCTTAAACATTTCCAGGTTTTCGACATAACTGTTTTAATGTCTACCTTTAATACACCAACCACCTGACTTCAGGCACAATGCTCAACAGCTCTGACCACAGGGCTTTATACATTCAAAAACCACAGACTTAACAGAATTAAGAATTTGCAAAACCTGTTCATAAGAATACATCTTTTTGCCCAAGGCTTCAGGAAGCTTAGACAATGGGCAAACTGAAATCTCTTACCAATAGAATATTTGTAGCTCAGAGCTGAACTGTGAGATCTTTGATGTTCTCTAATCTCTCTGAAATCTCTTAGTTAAATACTTTTTTTTTTCTTTTCCTGCCAATTTTGATTTGATTTGAGACTTTGGGCCATAAATATCCTTGACCAAATAGGTATCTATTCCTTTTCTCTTCCCTCAGTATTTACCAGTACATTGGCAAGCCAGTTGAGCACTTTTTTTTTTAACACGTATGTCAACACTTTCTTTAATATGTCAACCTCTTAAAGAGATTTTTGTGAGAAATATGCAGCTGGGTCTGACCTGCCAGTCATTACACTGAAGATACATTATGAATTCAAGTTCTGAGATTTGCTGCACCAGCAAATACAGAATTAAACTACAGAGCAATTATGGGCATAAAGAATAATTTTTCACATCCCACAAACAAAGCCACTGAATGAGCGAATAGAAGAACTGTAGACAGGTTGAAACACATTTAAGGAAGGAAGAAAAGAAGGAAGGAAGCTGAAACCACTGAACATGTTATGAGTTTTGCCCAAACTGATTTTGGTGCAGTTTCTAGACAATTGCAAGCCCACTTCAAAAAGTAGGAAAATCAGTTTGCAAAGTGAGTAGAGAAAGGTATAATGTGCATCCATAAGAAACTCAGGTCTCATCAAAAAGAGTGAAACATAGTTTTTCTGAGTTGTATTATGAGGCTGAACCCCTAAGTGTTTATTTCAAAAAAAAAAAGAAGAAGTTTTAATCTAATACATACCTAGGTACTAGAGGGTAATGGAGTCACATAAAAAATATGGGCATGCAAAGTTGAAATTATACACATGCAGTCTTCCTTATTAATGGCTGGTGGGGCAGAGGATTTTGTATCTTATTGTTGTGGCCTGCCAGTGGCCAGCAGAGCTGGCAGCAGACTCGGACAGTGAGGAGGTTGGGAAGGAACATGGGCCAGTCCTGGAGTCTGCAGAAGGCTCTGACAAGGGTTCTGCATCGGAGGCAGAGATGGGGCCAGGGCTGTCTGATAGTTAACAGCTGCCTTCGGAGTCGGAGATCAGTGGGACAGAAGAACAGATGGAGCCTGTTCCAGTGTGCACTGCACAGAGCTGCCAGGAGAAGGGAACAGTTAAGGAACAAGGGACAACTTGGGAGAAAGGGCACAGGTGGACAGTAAATGGCCCCTCCCATAGGGAATAAAGAGGATCAAAAGGGGAGTGGTGTTTGCAGGAGACAATAAGTTCAATTCATTGGGGTGAAGATCTGTTCCTGACTTCTTGCCAAGTAATTTCTGCAACAGTGCGGCATTTGGAAGATATCAGCCTGGCAGCTCTCCAAGCCTGATAAAAGTCTGTAGTTGTGAAATCTCTTGAAAGACAGTTGGACAGAACTTTGCTGGAGAGGAATTCCCTTTAAGGTGTTTTATTGGGACGAGGAGTCTGCTTCATGATCTTGGGAAGCCTAAGTCAGAACACTCATCCGAGACATGCATAAGGCACCATATAGCAAGTACACCATAGTACTTAGTGCTTTAGATAGGGGTCATCTGCTCCCCTTCCTGAGTGGTCTAATGCTGCTTATATTTCACAGCTGGGGTGGCTATGAAATGCTGTGTTTAAAACACCTTCCAGTGACCCGGGCAATGCTATAACACCGTGATGGCGAACCTACGGCATGCGTGCCGGAAGTGGCACGCAGGCAGTTGCCTGGAAGAGCCCCACTGCACATGCGTGCATGCCACCTGCCCACCAGCTGATTGTCGAGTATCTGGTGTGCATGCGTGAGGGGCGGGGGGGTGCGCAGGAGATATGCGCACATGGGCAGAGATGTGAGGTACACACAAGGGGATCGCGCACGCATGTGCAGAGATGCTCAGCACGGGGGGGGTGTCACATACGCATGTGCAGGGGGCGTGGGGGCCCCCCTGCGTGCATTGCCTTCTGGGTGCTGGCACGTGAAGGTGCAAGCATACAAGCACGCAGGCAATTTTTAGCACAGGAGCCCAAAAAGGTTAGCCACCACTGCTATAACAGATCAAGGTCAAAAAGTCAAAATGACAGGCCCTTCACCCCATCCCACTGTGACAAGAAGAAAACATTTTGGATAGTTTCCAGAAGTCAGACAGCACTGCAACGAAATGTGCCAAGAACCTTTCTGAACCTGTATGTTAGGTAGCAAATAGGATGTCGGGATCAACCCATGTTATCTTGCTTTTTATTCACTGAATTTTGAATCCAAGATAAAACTTGACAGGAAAGCTGAATGGTTTCCAGGGCAGAATGGGAGAACCAGAAGCAAAAAAGGAAAAGGGGTACAATATTTCCCTGCAATCTTTATGGAATATTTTCCAGATTCAGATGCTTTATTTTTATTTTTTTAATTTTAAAATAAACTTTATTGAATACAAAAAATTAAAATATACAAATATACAAACTCAAAAGACAAAGATTCATCAGACAAACATCACAATAATCTCTGTGCTAAAACTAATTAAACTCCTTTAATACATTTGACAGTGAGTTAAATATTTCCTAAATTATATTATGTGACAGTCATTTCTTATGTTCTATCTAACATAATGTTCTGTTATTAATGTTTGTTATTGGATTATACTTATTTATTTTCACTGATGAATTCAGATGCTTTAAAAGGATGTTCACCCAAAAAGATTTCTTGAAATCTCCAAGCAAGAAGGTTGTTACGCATCTTGATTTGTTGGGAAGACTTTTCATGGCAAACTTTAGAAATAATACGAATAACTCTGAATTCACACAACCCTGTACAGTGCATTAAGGAAATTTCTCAGAATCAGAACATCTTCTTTATCCCTTACAGTGAATTTACATCTGTGTCTCATAAATAGGCTTCTGCTCAGACCAACACACGCTCTCTTTAGGGAAAATCGAAACTAATTTGTCAACCAGAAGCTAACCATAAAAGTAGAGCTTCAAAAGCACACACTGCATTTTACTCAGTAATGGCTAAACTCTCAAAAACATCCTTCTATCAGGAATGATTTATCGATATTAATTAGCCAAACCTTTCCCAGTTTGAAAATAAATTCTTTTTCTGTTGAATGATTGCCACTTTAAACATTCCATCCATCTCTTACAGGTTACAGTACAGTAGAGAACACACTTATTTTACAGTGGATTTTGTAATTCCCTTGTTCAACATTGGACAGGTTTTTGAAGCTGTGATGCACATATTAGTTCTGTGAGATGTTATAATCTTTTTTTAAAAAAAACCAAAAACTTTAGCTGCTTCTGCATATGGTAGCAACATCCGGAAGGATAGAAACAGATGGTTTGATTCTAATTCTTACCTCCACAGTGCCTGCAGAAACTGAGTATTCAGTATAAACAAATATGATATAGGTAATACCATATGGCTCAAAAGAGGCTCTGACATAAATTTCATTTCCATAATTCTTTCTCTGATTGTGTTTCTCATCTAAAGCAGGGTGTGACAGTCTGCTCAATTAAGTTGCCTTATTATCTTTTCTTCTTTCTAAGATGTTAATTTTGAAGGCTGGATGGTAATACAAGCAGTAATAACTTCCTGTCCAGGCAGCCTCTAGTCCACAATTTTTAGAACAAGTATTAAAAATTAAAACCAAATGACCTTAAATTACCTCCCCCAGAATCTTCCCTCCCCCCCAAAAAAAACCCACTTAACTGGATTGCAATAATAATAAAAAATATTTCACATGTCTTCACTTAAGAAGACACAACTATATTACCAAAACCATATGCCAAAAGACTGGTATTACTTACATTGCCAGATTATAACTGCTCTAATTTAGCACATATCCATAACACGACTTCTATTTTCAACTCCAGTCATAATCATGGATTTTAGAATTTTAGGAACAGGCTATATATCAGTTTCCCATCTTTAGTAAACTCATATTGCCTGCATGCTTGCATCTCTAGGAATGATGGGCAAAAAAATTGTTTCCTGGGTTTATTGATTGAACTTACATCCAAATTTTCCTCTTTGAGATTAAGGTGGCTTGTATGAAAGTCTTTCCTAATTTTTCTCCCCCCCACACACAACAACCCTGGGAGATGCGTTAATTTTTCCAGTGTTGGATGCTTCTATGCCTTGATTAATCCCAAAGCAAAATATCACAAGAGAAGCTCTCCCATCAGCCTTTTTCTGATTAGCAAAATGCAGCAGCTAGGGAGGTCTTAGGATGAAAACAACAGAAAACTACACCAGTGCTCTTCGGTGTTTGATGATAATTGGCTTGATTGATTTTATTACATTTTATTTGCTCAACGTACGAGCACCTCCAATTATCCAAATGACTCTCGGTGCCATGCAACATATGAAAATTCTCAGACAAGTAGAAAGAAATTAATAGATAACAACCAAAGCAGTCATGTTTATTATTTCATGAGAAGGATAAGAAACAAAATCTAAGGGTCAGTGCAGGTTCAGAAAGCTCCTTGACCCAAATTGTAAAACTTACAAAGCGCTATCTTTTTTCACCCGGTAACCAAAACGTATCAACCGCATTTCTGAAGTTTAACTGATATATCTGAAATCTTTGCAAGACCGGGACTTTCAGATATATCAGTTGAGAAAATAGAGCTTGACCACTGTCATTTTTTTTTTAAGCTGTGTGATTTTCTGTAACATCCAACAGAGTGTGAGTCTAACACTCCGCTAGAGAGAGATTCGCTAAGGACGGGCACCAGCATGAGTCCAAAAGCTGAGAAAACTAAACTTCTCGTCCTGGTGACCAACTCAGATGGGATCCTGAAACATTATTTTTGGACAAGTATATTCACTTTCAGTCATGACAATTTATTCCAGTGGATACTTGCTACACCAAAGTAGATTTCTAAAACAAACTTCAAGAAGAAGAAAAGAAAGAATAGTTACACTTACTTCAAAGATGAGTGTCTCATTAGTTGGGCCAGATGCGGACAGCTTCTCTGGATGGCTAAAAGGCCGTTGATAATCAAACATTGTTCCAGCAAAGTAAAATTTTCCAGGCCAGTCAACTGTCCAGTCTTTGGTTAGGTAATATTTCTTTTTCAAATTGCGAACTGCAAGGTAGCTGCTAGAAATGAACAATTCTTGGATTTCAATACCATAAGCTCCTGCAGGAATTGTGACAATGGGATAATAATCTAGAAACAGAAAAAGATCAGTTGGTTACATCCGTGTCTGAAACATTTCCTTTTTTTTTATTAAAAGCAGGTTTCTGTCATCATTTCACCCCTATAATGTTAATATTTATAGTGGTTAATAATTTAAGTTGTATCCTAACTTTCTGCCCACAATCCTTGCCAAGCTGTAGCAGGAAAAAAAATTCACAAATTGCATCATGAGAAACTCAAAAGGCATTCTCAAACGGTCTGAGCAGAAGGTAGAACACATCAGAAAACTTTTTTGAAGGAAAAGAACAGAGAAATGAATGGATAGATTTTGGCACAACTCTAATAAGAGCTGTGGTGGTTAGAATGAAGTATTGCAGATGAACTCTGCCAATTGCCAGCAGTTCGGTCCTCACCAGCTCAAGGTTGACTCAGCTCTCCATCCTTCCAGTGGTGGGATTCAGATTTTTTTTACTACCGGGCGTGGCTTGGTGGGCATGGTAGGGGAAGGATACTGTAAAATCTCCAGTCAGAGGTGGTATTTGCTGGTTCTCCGAACTACTCAAAATTTCCTCTACCGGTTCTCCAGAACTGGTCAGAACCTGCTGAATACCATTCTCTGCATCCTTCTGAGGTCAGTAAAATGAGGACTCAGATTGTTGGGGGCTGATTGTGTAAACTGCTTAGAAAGGGCTGGAAAGCACTATGAAGCAGTATATAAGTCTAAGTGCTATTGGTAGTTCAGTAGTGAAACCCATTTGCCAAAGAACTGGTGAGTTACCCTTTGCTGGATATCTTCTAGAAGAAGTATGGCCAAACAGCATAAGTCAGAGAAATGTTAAACTGATGCCTTTACTATACATAGTTAAACAGTTCTTCCAGGGGTGGGATTCAAACTTTTTAACAACCGGTTCTGTGGATGTGGCTTAGTTGGTGGGCATGGATTGGTGGTCATGTGACTGGGTGGGCATGGATTGGTGGTCATGTTACTGGCTGGGTGTGGCCAATTCAACATCACTCACATCGAGGCATGCATCTCCTCCCCTGGCCTTACGTGACTGTGGGGATGCTGCGGGGATGCTGCAACAGTCATAAGTGTGACCAGCAGTCATAAGTCACTTTTTTCAGTGCCATTGTAACTTTGAATGGTCACTCCACACAAGCAAAGTACCAGCAAAGGAGGGGGAAAAAACTTCAGAGAAGTTCCAGAGACAGGAAGTCTAGTCCTGCCAAGAATATAATAAGGGTTAATGGAGAGGCAGTTTCTGTAAGCAACACCAGAATGTTTCCTTCCTGCTTCCTTACAGGATTAGGCCAGTAATTTCTTCTAAGAACTGGTTCTCCGAACTGCTTAGAAAGTTAACAACCGGTTCTAGCAAATAGGTGCAAACTGGTAGAATCCAACTGGTAGAAAGTTCTTCCAACTTTAGGATTTATCATTCTAAGACCTCCAACTGTACATGCAAAGGTGTTTTTTTTTCCCCAGCAAGCATCTACAATAGGCAACATTTACTTGATCTGCAGGATGTCTGAGATGGTAGCTACTACACCAGTCTCCCTCCCAACTTGGGTTTTCCAAATAAAGTTTTGGTGGAAAACATACAAAGACTGTTACAGTAATGCAAAGGGGAACAGTTATGAAAAGCATTGACTTAATTACACTGGGAAATTGTTTTCTTACTGTTAGTTTTATGCTGGGTTAAATAATGGCCCGAGTAGAATGTACATGAGGAATTGTCTCCTTTACAAACTCCACAAGCATCAAAAGTAGCTTTGGATCCAAGACGATGATCACAACCCACTTGCTGCAACAACAACAGAGAATCAGTGAAAGAACAACAGGTAGAAGAAAGTTGTTGCCTACCTTTCTGTCCATCTATCTTTCCATCCATTTTGAAAGGTCTGCTACTCCTTTACTTGAAAAAGAAGCTAATAACTTCATTCAACATTCAACATCAATTGAACAGTAGCTATTTAAAGCTTACCTAATATATACTGACCCCAAACACATATGACTTTATGACTTGGTTCACACAACTTGTTAAGACATTGGCTGGTTTATATGGTGATCCTTAAACTACCCAATCTTGTTTTAGGTGAGTCTACGGTGCAGGGCATGCCTATTCTACTAATCCATCAGAAGCAGCTCTATAAGATGTTCAACAGAGAATTGTTTAACTTAGAGGTCACCAACATTTGCAACAGACACAGGATGATGTTGCAAGCAAAGTATACATGCTTTACAGCCGAGCTAAAAAATTTATACTGAATAGAATGCTGAATTTCATCTTACTTCACAAACCCCATCAATGCACACATCTTCTTTATACAGTGAGCAGGGGGTCCCATCCTTTACTCGGTTTGACATGGCGAAGAAAAAGTCAAAATCTTCTGCTGTACAGTAGAGTTTGCAGCGATCTTCCTCTGAAAAGAGACCAAGACAATATTCTGACCTGAAGATTTACTGACCAGACAGCAATACAATGGAAGAAGCAAAACCCCTATGATGTATTCATACTCTTTTGAACTACTCGGTAGTCTGCAATATCTTTTAACCTGGGTTGAAACAGCTTTGCCGATTTCCACTTCCACCAAACCTGCAAATTTGATTTATTAATCCCTTCCCAGATTGTAACC